TAGACGGACTGTCGACCTAAATAATACAGTATTAATTATAAAACTTTGGGATTACTTTGGTATTACAGTCATTACTTTCTCGTTATTACCCGACCTTTCGTCGTATTCAATATTTTTGGCGTCGGTGTGGAACGACGGTAATCGTCGTGGTAGTGGTGGCTTGGCCGAGCTGAGAGCGGCGTCGTGGACCCTGCTGGTATGTGGATCTAGTTGGTGTGCTGTGGATTTTATTTCAGGATATTGGCCCGGAAGAGAGAAAAATATTTACATCTACATTTTTATTTTTGTGTGTCAAGAATTTATGGTTTTGTAAGAAATGACGCTGTTGTCTTCAGAGTTGAATGATGTAGGAATATTGTACATTACTATTCTGTAATTTTATGAAAATAAAGTTGTTCAGTAGCGTTAGAATGACGGTGGAGATGCGAATTTGTTTTTTACGTTTGTGAATAGTGTCTCGTTATCGTTATGGTAATTAAATCACAAGATTGGAAACACTCTGTCCATTGTAAGATTTGAGGTTTTGACGGCGGAGAGTATGAAGATTTCTGTCTTCTGGGTTGTTATTCATCACCCTGATGACGGAGGCAGTACGACCTCTGAAACGTTGGTTAACATCGACCAGACTACACAGCGCAACAACCCAGAAGACAGAAATCTTCACTCTGTCCATTGGCTCGTAAAAAGCAAAAACAGTTCTAGAAGCAGATGGCTGTCTTATGGGTTTCATATTTTATTGTCTTTTTTTTTTTCAGACCCTTTAATCGTATCACCGATTTATTTATTTATTTTGGAGACTTTTACCTTGCTTATCAGTTTTTGTAGCCGTAAGTACCACGTTTCCTCATATTAGGCGCTCACTTCCTTTTCCTCTTATTTCTCCAACAGTGTTTGTACAAATGATGTATATGAAGTGTGGCCTTGAGAATCCTTCGTCGTCTCCTTACGTTAGAAGCCTGCGCCTACATCGTCATCGCCGGCTTTTATTGGTGAGTGATCGCATTTTTATCTTTTCCACAGGCATTCTTTACGTGAAGCGTTTGGCCTTGAACCATGCTTCGTACAAGGAAACAATTTGCTGAATGAAATAAATTCAATTTTCATATTATTCATTAACGAGCAGGTTTTTTGAAATACGGAGCTCGTAGTGACCTCTTTCTTTGGTTTACAGTCAGATGTTACTTGGTTCAAAAAGTTGTTAGTGGGTTTACTCGTCTTGAGTTTCGTTTTGGAAAATCTCCGTAAAGAATGTTTTTGGAAGTCCATTGCAATCCATTAAGGGTACGCGTTTCGTTTATTGAATTTTCTGTAAGTGTGTTTAACTTTCAGGGGTGGAGCATTCGTGTTAACCACGTTAGCTTGGCTAACACTTTGAAAAATAAAAGGTCGTCTGTTTTACCTTTGTAATCAGATAAGATGCATCATCAGCCAACCAGGTGTTGTTAGCCAGCTAGTTGAGGCTTACACGTGCTGCTCGGCTGGTCTAACGTGACTAGCACGGTTATTAACGTGAATGCTCAGCCCCAGTGCTTAATTGAGAATATTTTCTGGATATTCCGTTTTTAGAGAGGTAGAGAAGAAGAGAACGTAAAGCTTCTTCTCTATTAGAGAATTTACTTCGTAAAATGTAGGTTTACGTTATACGTCTTCGTTCTCTTGCCCGGATCTGCTTCGTTCCAGCATCTAGTAATACAGTAACGAACGTTCGGGTTCTATAAAAGGAGGGGAATTCCATCACTAACTGAGTGACCCTTAGCTTCTCAACAAGGACTCTTCTTCATGGAGGTTGATGGTTCGTTGAAAACATTGAACTCAATCTAGCTTCGATTCCATCCATTCGGAAGCATGGCCTCATTACTAAGGAGGTTGTGTTGGTATTGGCGTGACTCTGTCCGACCTCCGAAGAAACAAAATATATCTGTTCCCTCTGGTTTCGGTTCTTGTGGTACCACGCTGTCTGCTGTTATCCCATGTCATCCTCCTGTCACCTCTCACATCCTTTTTCTTCACCCACCCTCCGTTGCTGGACCCAGCTGGGACGTTTAGACTGTCGTACTGAATGAAATATAACCTTCAACTTCCTATAGTATTCTCCCCACCTCCAATGCCTTGTATGTACGAGAGTCAACAGCTCACGGTAAGGATAGAGTTTGATGTTTCGGAAATGTTACTGGCAGTATCGGTTTTCTTGCACGACGGGGATGCTCCCCCTCCCCCCAAAAAATGAAGGGAACGTACGATACCATATTCTCAAATCCAATTTGCACAAAGTGTACGTAGTGAATTCTATTTCTGTAAAATCCATGTTATTATTCTCCCATCTATGCTCAAGTCGGAGAAGCTGAATGAGATTTCAATTTCTCACAGCGGTAAACGCGTGTGTCGTCGTCTTCTGGGTTGTGACGCCGGTCTCAAATGAATGCAGTTAACACTCCCTCACTCTGTTTCCATAAGATCCATTTTAATATCTTCCCATCTACGCATAGGTATTCTAGCGGTCTCTTCCCTTAAGAATTTCCAACTAAAACCTTGTATTCATTACTTTCCCATTTACATGTTTAATAATAATATTTATTACTTTTATAATCGATACATTTAAATTTATGTACAATTTCATTACACAACTTCGTACCTGTGTATTAATTTCACAGTCTACATAAGAGTTTCAGAGGAAAAATAAACCAAAGAATTGATGCGCTATGAAGACAAGTGAAACTGGAATGCTGGCGTTCAGTCACTGGCTGTTCAGACTTCCACTTCTGCGTTTCGGCAGTATTACATGACATTTGTTCTTTACGAAAAAGACGCCAGTTCATTAAAATTGATGGGGTTACAGTTTCTGTTCCCTCATGCTGTATCCAGGCACGAGGGTTGACGTCTCACTTCACCCCAATAATGGATTCTACAGAGAAAGATATCTTGGGTTTGGTTTTGGGGATCGGCTGATTTTTCGCTTCTGGTAATGATGTTTTTCCAGGATCTTGTAGGTTAGAATTTTGGTCTGCGTGGGTGGTTAGTACAGGGGTAGGCTGGAGGCATGGGGGTGGCCAGAGGGCGGCTTGTGGGGGTGGAACAAGAGGTATCAGTGTGAGAGGCAGTCCGGCCAGGATGCGGTCTCGAAGTAGTGTCGCGTGTTCGTCGGGGTGATGTAGGAGCAACGTAGGTGGCAGAGCTGTCTCCAACTCGCGGTCTGCAAACGCGCGTCTCTTTCTGATCCTGTCGCTCAAGAATGGAGGTAAGAGCGTCCCATTTGGCGTTGGGAAGCGTCCCAGCCTCTGACGGTAACCTGGGAACAAGTCAAATACTGGCATTGTAGAGTCGGGCGATGAGTCTCCCTGATGATGGAAGCAGTAACCACCTTGAAACGTCAGTGAACTTCTGCCAGACTTCACAGTGCAATATCCCGGTTGATACACGCCGCTGTGAGAACGTGAAATCTCGTAACGGCGAAGAAGTCGACACTGTCTTCTTGGTTGTCACACCGAGTGGACGGACACGTAGGTTCAGTCTACTTCTACCTGCATGTCCACACAGCGTTACAACCCAGGAGACCAACATCGACAGTGGGCCTGTTTGTTTCGATTGAACTAATTTCTGGTAAAACCCCCTTCCTACTACTCAGTTCCGGTTACAGACCTGACGAGGGACAGTGCGGGCCGCGTGTTTCAGCGGTCGGCACTGGAATAATAAGTCTATCTGTTGGAATGTCTGGAAGCGTAAATCACTGTTGTGTTTTTGAAGATCTGTAACCATGTGAGCTGCAGATGGAGAAGTCAAGATGACCCATCAGCCTTGGACCGTATTAATGGTTGTCCAGATGTGAGGAAACCCTAACTTTGCTAACGATGTTACCCAGTTCCGGTGCCACGCAGTCTGTCATCCGTTTGTGCACTATTGTTACTTCAACGCAACAGTGGCTCAAGTCCCTTATAGTTACTTTTCAGTCATATAACATGGAAGGAGAGAAACAAGAAGTAAATACAGGATTGTTGAAAACCGCAAATAAAAACTACATTTACTAGCTCCATAGCAGTGAGGACGTCCCTTACAACCTGATAGTTACAAGCAAAAAAATTCCCTGCTTATATGGAATCCGAATTTTCATCGCCGTGTTCACTAAAGCCTCACCTTTTTACCTTCCACCGAAAACTGAAGCCAATTCCTAATTTTCTTTGTTTTACTGTATCCAGTAACTAACTGCATGGAGCCGAGTCCTTGAGGATAATTTTTAAGTAAACATTCTGTGTGGTTTACGTAAAAACAAAACATTAATTAAACCGTCAAATATACAACACAGCCATCTACACTTCGTACCGTCATAAACAAGTGTTACTAAAACTGCTTCAACATGTTTCGGCTTGACTGGTTATCTTCAGGCAGTACTGAATTTAATGTATGTATGTGACGCGCTTGAAGTACCAAATTATGCCTATATGGCGTTTAAACCTTGAATATGACAAAGTAAATTATATCAGATTATACTACAAAACCTTATTAGAAATAATTCAAAAATACGTTAAAAATTTTTAATATTGAGGACAAAAGGATCATATTTTAATACTTTAGAAAGCTGTGATATCTACATAAAACCAAGAAATTAAGCCTCGTGTTGAACGTCATCTGTTTTGACCTCTGATAGTTTTATTTACTCCACAAGAGAGCGACACATCCGTATACGAAAAAAAATCAGGTTTCTTCCACTCGCTGTCATTCGGTTCCAGTGTTCTGTCGTCGTCACATCGTTAACTCACCTCGAAATCCGCAGGTAAGTTTCTTATTTGAATGCATGTTCTCTGCTAGGATCAGTGTACGTATCACTAATTTATACATCTCGGACAGACATTGTTAATGTTAAACGTTCCTGTCAATATAACCGATTAAAAACCCAAAAGCAGACTTTCATACCAACTTCCTCTTCTGCTGTTATAATTTATAGTTGAAATCCATGAAAGCGGTGAGTCCTAAGACATCTCTTCTGGGTTGTCGTGCCGTGTAGTCTGGCAGAAGTTTACCGAGGTTTCAGAGGTCCATGCTGTCTCCATCATCGCCCTGATGATGGAGGCAGCAAGGACCTCTGAAACCTCGGTAAACTTCTACAAGACTATACGGCACGACAACAAAAAATATATCAATTTTCAGCCTTTATTTCTTTCATGCAGGAACGGTCCCATTTTATACTTGTATTAGACTTTAATGAAATTCCATCTTCAATTTATTGTTTTATTAGACTGTATTTCCGTGTACTTGTAGGGCCCATTCAATGCGTTGTTTACTCCGTCTTACGTCAACGAGTCAACCAGTGTCGTCCTCTATACGCCGTAGGACTCATTCCCAGTCACAGGTTAACAACAACTTTGATTACCCAATTCGATTCCGGGCTGGTGATATGTTGCTTACCTTCTTTCTACCGTAATTGCTGCATTATACGCATAAAATACTTGAGGTATGGGGCTTGAAAAGATGGAAGTTAAAACCAACATTTGTGTTTGTAATATCTGATGTCATTTTTTAAATGGTACTTTATTTTGAACATCAGTTTCAATATGTTTTTATAATACAATCTGATACAGTTTACTTTATCGCATTCGAGGTTTATGCCCCATATAAGCGAAACTTACTATGTTAAGCACGTCATAGACTACATCATAGCAGCAAGTTCAGTACTGCCTGAAGATGATCAAGCCGAAACATGTTAACAGTTCTTGTTCACATTAGCAATAATTCTTATCAAATTTATTGTTAATGGTTTGATGAAGTGTAGTACGTTGTGTTTTTGACGGATTAATGAATTCTGCCGCGTGGAGAAATTGTCTTAGCCAGTCAAATTTAACGCCTCTTATGGATCCTAAAGGTCCATTGCTGTTTTTTTTACAATAGACCACCTGTGGAACCTGATCCAGCTGATTTCAATTAGATATATTTTAATATTAATCTCCTATTTAAGACTGCCTGTCTTTCCTTCGGGTTTTGGAACTAAAATTTCGTATGCACTTCTAGTCTGTCCCATGCGCGTTGCGTACTTGGTCCGTTATTCTGCACGTATTCTGTTGATAGTGTTGCTTAATTCTTCCTCATATGTGTCAGAAAATTTTATTTTCAGATGAATTTTAAGAACATTACGAAACAAAATTATATGATCATACTACTTCAATTCTAAAGAATTTTGACGACGGTAGTTTACACTTAAAATTATTCGTTGTCAGGACCTTTTCCATCGTCTGTTCTTTAAAATCACGACGTGTCGGAGGCTGTTTCTGTATCCGTCTTCAGGTGAGAGGTACCTACTCTGTTGAGTCCCTTAGATAGAGCTAGTCTCTGTCACTGTACAGTGACGGAGACAGAACCAGCCTCCGAAACGTCGTGATTTTAAAGAACAGACGATGGAAAAAGTCCTGACAACGAATAATACTACTTCATGTTAAATTCTTGCTTTTTATTTTCCTTTCACTTTAAATTCGCAGTTTCAATTTATTAGATGCAATTCTGCAGTGGTTTTACTCTATTTTCGACACCGGAAGAATGTTTTGGTGAAAACAATTTCCGTTTAGTCAAATTGTCTTACTCGGCATGTCGTCCTCAAGGCCATCTCTATGTTCTATGTGTATGAAAGCGTGATAGGATTAATGGTTTGCCGGAAGCGGGGTCTGTATACATCTGTAAGGTTGGTTTCTCTCGAGGAAACCAGTGTATAAAGAGTCCCCAGTTTCTGATGTTACCATTTAACAAGCTGAGTAGCCGCGCAGTGACCGTATGGCATATATTATAGGCATTTTAACAGTTTCCCGAGTTCTAAAAATGTTTTACTGTTTCAAAGAAATGTTTATAACTGAACGAGTTCCACACTTTTGTTTGAAACATTTTCGTTTATATGAATATTTAACGAGTCCAGCGGATTCGTTTCCTACCGGCAAATGTTCTTTATCACACATGTTTAATTTCGTTTCTAAATTTTTCTCATGTCACACAACTTAAATTAACATACGTAGTACCACTTTGTTACAAGAAAATAAATACCATTTAAAAATACACCGTCAAGTTTCCAGAAATGTATGTTTTGTATTATATGAATCTAATAGGTGGAGTCGTGACCTCAGATTAAACATTACACATCCATTCCACTGACTTAATTTAAAACACTTCCTGTTGGCATAGTGAATTTTATGGTTCCAATGGATTAGTAAGTTTAGGCACTGGCCTCTTCTGTCCGGAATACGTTATGTATTTAATATTCATTGCAAATATTTATCCTGCCATATTTACGTCACCATAGGCCACCCATTCTGAAGTTTCCGCATTTAATTTTTCAGGTACTATTGGATTATAGAACAAGAGAAACTGTATTTTTACTAACAATAACTCAGCATGGAAAGGGTTAATATCTCAGAGGGAGATTTTATAAAGAATACAGAAGTAGTTTTTTGGCTTACATTTTAGGAGCAGTGTGTAACACTTTTTCCACAGCTGGCGGTAGTATGTGCAGTCAATGCAGTTATAAACATAAAGTTCTTACCATAAATCCAAAAAAGCGCAAGGCAGTTGCACTGAAATCATATAATTCAAGTATCCGTATACAAAGTTTGGAGGGTTTTAAACACGTATTTCCTTTCGCCAGTTGAAAACTCTCCAGTCATTATTTATAGACACGAAAAGCACATATATGATCCGAAGGGTAAACAGTCTGGAAGGTTTTGTTTCACGTCCTGTAACAAGTCGTAGTCAGGGTTGTTATCTCTCTACGTATAGATGGCCACGGGAAGGAAATGAAAAGTTATGATGATGATGATTGAGATATAAAACAAAAGTGGGTGCCCGTGACCATCAGTGTCGGGTTGATGGATGTGCAGGACATCGCACGCTGGAACACTCGGATTCGTTGAGAGAAAAACTATTTGTCTATCGAACGTTCTCGAAATACATTAACTCCTCGGCGTGAGATTTGAGGTTCTCACGGCTGTGAACATGGCCGTTGTACTGGACTGTGACGCCGTGCAGACTCGTAGATAAGATATCAACGCTTTGGAAAAACATACTATCTCCATCTTTGGCCCTGAAGATGGAGACAGTATGTTTTTTCCGAAGCTTTGATTTCTTACCTACGATTCTGCACGCCGTCATAACCCAGAACAACATGGCCACGTTAACCCCTCGTTTTACAAAGTGATACGTACCTTCAGACTTCTTCGTTCAGCAATAATTTTTTAAAAACTGAATTTCCCATTAATTTAAAATCAGCCATCAATGTCAGATAGGTAAATAACACATATTTATTTATTGTAATGAACAGAAAGGGTTAAAGTAAAATTGTCCCTGGTACTGAACGATGTACCACGCCATGCAGACGTATGGATGAGTGGAGGTATAGTCCCACACGTTCTTAACCTCTGCACTAAAAGAAGGTGAGTGGTTAAAGTCACCCCTTGGGGCTGACAGCTCACCTCGATGTAGTGTCGAGGTTAAGAACGTGTGGGGCTATACCTCCATGCTCTGCTTTTGCCTTAATTCTGTGTTGCTCGGAAGAAACATGAACTTTGCCTCCACACACTTTTATGAAATTTACTGTTGGTTAGGACAAAAATGTACATCATACCGAGTGGGGGATAAATGTGGCCGGAACTGAAAAGTGGCTACTATCTTTAAAATGACTATCATCACCAAATGTACCCGTTTGTCATGCTTTGGATAATATATCTCTGAGGAACATTCTGATATTGATTCACCGAATAATTCGTCAGTCGATTAATAAGCAGATAATTGATTGGATTTCTTCGTATTTTATATAAATTTGTAGTTTGTGTCCCCTTTGAAGTATGTCGTCACATAATCCATTTCCGGTGCTTGGCTAGCTTTCTCGAATGTTTTCTTAACGAATTGGGTTATAGTCGTTCACCGTTTTGAAGTTTACAATTAAGATTCCAGCTTAATAAAACTCGATATATTTAAAGTTTAAAAACAGAGATGATGCTAAGGAATGAACGCATGTTTCGGCCGTAATCATCAGCCGGCCTAAACTTTCTGTTGCTGCAAATACATAAACACATATTCTCTTTCCGGTTTGTGCAGTGAGTAGGAGTAAGCTTAAAAGAGTTGACCCACAGGGCAATAAAAATGTAGAAATGTTTGCATTAAATTAAAGAAATAAGACGAATTGGAAACGTCTTAAAATCTTCACCACCTTTAAAGTTACCACTTGGTTAAGATCTCTTGAAATTTTAATCGTAGTCTGTTTATTCACGTTTTGCCATAGTGGCTCTTATTCTGTAATAAAACGTCTGTAGGGTAGAGTCGTAAAGACTGAGAAAGAGGAGACTAAGCAGTTTTCCATCCACAGAAAGTTTATTTTCTTCACCGACGGAGAAAACAGTGCCACTAGTGAAGAGTAATAGAAATCACCGCTTCCTCTCTCTGGTTTCAACGGCTGTTAGCAGCTGTCCGGTGTAACAGAGCAAAGCATAAGAAGAGTCGAGTTTTAGTAGTCGAAGTCGTTCCAAGTCATTCACAAAAGTATTCCAGCGAAAACTGTCTTCTTCTCTTTTCGTCCCTCCCGACACTCAAGACAAACATTGTGCACTTTAAACGGGCTAAGAGGGCTAAGGCACGGGGCACAGAACATAAAAATGAACACCAGTTGGTCGAGTCCGGGACGGGCCTCAGGCCACCCATACTTTTAGTTTAATTCTGTATATAAACGTCTTCCTAGACAACGAAACCATATGCAAAAATAACTTCATATCTTACGGTTACTTCCGATTTAAACAAGAAGTTCTTGGAATGAAAAATGTCTTGTTCTTTAGGCCTCTGTAATTTATAATTACAAACGTTAATGCTCGATTTATATGTATAGTTTGTTATCTGCCTACCTTGCAGGATATCCCGCGCCAACGAGCTCTGTTGTAGGCTTCTCAGATGCTTCTGATACAGCCTCTTCTGTGCTAACAATGCCTCTGCCGATTGAACACGTGACCTCAAGTCATGGCCTTCCTCACTCGTTTGTTGTCTGAAATTACGCAAGATACAATTAGTCATGACGTCTCTTTTGTCTTGAATTATCAGATGACTGTTCCGATGAACATGTACGCGAATCGTAACAATTCTGGCAAGTTATCTGTTACTGCCTCTACAGTTTCAATTCGTAATCGTCGGCTTTAGATACTGTATCAAAGGTCTAAGTGGCGGGGGAACGATTAAGGACCTCCAATATAAAATTTGATGAAAACCAGTCCAGCCGTTCTCGAGTTATGGCTGAATAAACATTGTTTTTTAAAAAAAATATTTTGGGAGCTGTAAGCCGTACGAAAAAGAGGATTAGATTTAACATTGCGCTCGACATGCGGCGAAGAAACTCACGCAGGTCCACCTGTAAACTCTGCTTTATTACATCCAGTTTTTACCAAACTTGGAATATATAAGCCTAATCAGATTCTAGTAAAACTTCCTAGTATCGAATTTCATAAAACTATGTACGACTAACTATGGCAGGAAGTCTTATACAATACATGTGATTATGTTAGGTGAAGATGATTCGTCAATGGATTGTTCAACGGCAATGTATCAACTACACAGATAATTTGTTGTATAGAAAATTACTTTTACTCGTCTACATGTCTCTCTTATTCTAGACCACTAATTTAAGGTCAGGTTCTTTTAAAACTATTTCATTTTAGATTGTTTTATTTTAATGGAAAACATAAATAACCGGCTCTGACTAAATAAACGCGAGCAATTCTAATTTAATTGTTTAATGTGCTGTTTTAATTAAATATTATTGTGTGAATAGCTGACAAAATGATCTAGGTAACAAATCTTGTTACATTGTGGACATACCCAAAATGTTACATAAGAAAAATGAGAGCCGGGTTTCGAACTTTGGCAGTTTCTCAACACCAAAACAGAGCTTGGCCTTTTCAGTTGCCATCAGAGAGTTGGACATGACACACGTTGTAACTGTCTTGAGCAGCCGATCCTGTCATTGCCGCCTTCCAAATGCAAGACCTATTTCAAAAGCCGCGCATTGCCAAAATAAATATATACCGGGTGTCCCAGAAGAGAATTTAATTATTAAGAAACAGTTCTCGAGCAACTTTGATAGTGAATTTACTTAAATATTATTTAATGAGCTGGACGGCAAAGAAAGGCCCATGGTTTTAGAAACTTTGAATAGTTCACAAGTTGTGAGGTAGAAGAAAATCAACATGTCCTCATAAGTCACAATCAAATAATGTTGGCGATTCGTAACCCACAGTTAGATGAATTAACAAATTTGACATGTTGGATGACGACAAGGAAAGGTGTGTTGGCGACGCAGAATATGAAGCCACGGACCTTAGGGTTCGTGACACTGCAAATGATGAAAGATGAGATTATAAAAACTGTGGTAATGATAAAGGCAGTGTGGAAGGATACGACTGTGTTAGATGGAAAACGTGCAGGTTAATGAAGAATACGTATAAGGAAGGCGATGATACCTTCGCAGCGCCACCTGTGCCGCCATGACTCGCTGCCGCTCGACCACCAGCTGGCAGTTGGGGCACTGACACTCTCGCCAACGGCACAGTCGCTTGTGGCCCTTGAGGCACGAAATCACCCCGTGGTTGCGGCACCGCGCGCACTTGGGCGTTCGAAGAAGCCTCCGCCCGGCGCCAGTCCCTCCGCGCCCACCTCGCACCAGCCGCTCCGCTGGCGTGTTCATCCCCTACAGGAGAAAAGCACAAAGTGACTTCTCTTAACGTTCGCAGCAAGTTATAAAGTAGTTCCAATGTTTACTTAAGCACAACGCCGTGAATACGCAATTGTCGAAATGGAAGTAGTGGCCAGCTTTGTGCTCCGACCACTCTATTCCCGTCGGAAGGGATCCCCGTCTGGCTGTGATGGCGAAAAATGAATCCCTGCTAGTACCGGAAATCGAATCTCGGTCGAGAAATCTGTAGCCAGTCGCTGTATCGACAGGCACCGCATCTACGTTTGAATACCTCAGCGGTTTTGATATCAATTTATTACATATACAAAGTTGTGATGATTGTTGTTCTTAGTTCATTTAAAGTTGCTTTCTCAGCTGTATGGGTTACATTGCGTTTCGTGGTGGAATAGTTGTGTATGACGAAATGTAAAGGTGTGTGTAAACACATAGAAAAAGTAGTCCTGGCCTATCATAGCTTTTGTCTGGAAGCTGAACTGAGGATTACCACAGAAATCTTCGGACAGGGTATCGTGTATTCATCCCAAAATTCGAAGCCGGTACCTCCCTAACGCTTTCTTTTGGACAAAAAATTTTCAAGTAAAATTTAAAGTGTGATTTATATCTCCTATCCAACGAAGTTAGGTTCGAGATCCACACAAAGTACATAGTTCTTGAACAGTTGATATAAAGTTAATTCTAAGGTTCAACGATGTCGTAAGAAAATCTGAAACCTCTTTTATACGAACATTTATTTTAATTTTTTGTGTTGCATGCATTGCATATATAATTGCACCGGCTAATTATTAATAGGATTGTAGATATTAATGAACGTTGCTGATCAAGAAGTCTATTTAGAATAAAATAATTTTAGATAAAATGGTAAATGAATAAATAAATAAATAAATAAATAAATAAATAAATAAATAAATAAATAAATAAATAAATAAATAAATAAATAAATAAATAAATAAATAAATAAATAAATAAATAAATAAATAAATAAATAAATAAATAAATAAATAAATAAATAAATAAATAAATAAATAAATAAATAAATAAATAAATAAATAAATAAATAAATAAATAAATAAATAAATAAATAAATAAATAAATAAATAAATAAATAAATAAATAAATAAATAAATAAATAAATAAATAAATAAATAAATAAATAAAATACACGTTCAATCTGAGTTTCTGACGAGTACCGGCTGGATGCAGAAGAGTCCTGCAAAATAGTTCTTGAACATCACTGTCTATTTTTCAAAAATCCAAAAAAAAAAAAATTCTTTTTGTCAGATATAATTTAAGTCTTAATATTTCTGTCACCGAACGTCGCGGCCCGGTGGTGAGCAACCAAACATCGTATTCAGGTCTATGGTGCAAATCTCTGCCCGGGTACCTAAATCCTGATTGGGGTTTCTCTCGATTTAGGCTGCGACCGGTTGTTTCCATATCGTTTACATTTCATTAATCATCCTACCCCAGCCTTGTCGAATTAACCACAAATATGAATATCTTTATCCTGATTCGAAATCTTTTATTTTCTGTTTGCTCGTCATCCTACGACAAGTTTTATAACGGTACCTTCTGTGTCCCAAAGAAGAGCTGTCGACAGTTCACGAGATGCCTCAGTTCCGCCGACGACGGGAAGCTGATCACTGCTAACTGGCGGGCGAACTGAGCACTTAACTGAGTTTTGTCTTAAGGATCCTCGTTCTCGAGCTGTTATTGGCTCGAGAGTGTTATGTGGGCGTTGCCACTCTAGCGACGAGCACGTGGATAGATTGTCATGTGGCTCCCGAGTTACAGAATTCAATCTCCACTTTATATTATCTCGTTGTGCTTTTACAGAGAAAAAGAATTGGTTCCCTTTTTTTTAGTATTACAAACTAACTCACTCCACGGAACAGAATCCTTCTTGAGGAGCTGATAATCGCTGAAATGGTTAAATATTCAACCATTTATGGTCGAAAGTTCATTATTAAATTCACAACAGTTCTGTCTGGATTTTATCCTAAGCCAGTTTAATCCATTTATCTTTACTCTCACACTATTTCTAGATACACTTTAATATTATCCTCCTATCCACACGTCGGTCTCTCAATCGGTTTATTACCTTCAGATTTCCAGGCCAAATTTTGTATCTATTTCTCATCTCCTACATGGATGCTGCATGCCCAGCTCATCTCGTCGCCCTCGATTTGGCAACTAATATTAAGTGAAAAATATAAGTTATTAACCTCATTATCTTGCGATTTTCTCCACATTGCTGTTATTTCTCCGGTGTACATGTTGTGTTCTCAGACACCCTGATTTATTAGGTAACTTTATTTTCCTTCTGGTGACGATACATGGCGAAATTCCCTGCTGATGAATAACAGAGACTTGGTATTTCTAGGGGTCATTAAATTAATAAAATTGATCGGGCATGTAGCACGAGTGATAGAAGAATAAAGTTCCGCTCTTTGAAGCCTCGTGAGGTCTAGGCGAATTGTTTCTTTATTGATATGTGTAAAAATTGTTTGTACCTACATTTGCCTTTGAATCATGCACCAGGTTATAAAATTAAATTTAGCATTGTTTCCTACGTAAACATTATTGAGCAAATTTGTTTTTTTCTTTTTGCGTGCTGTCGATCAGTTATAACTCAAACTTTACATGAAACTGTAGTTTAACTTGATCAGATTTATGAAAAATTAGTAACTGGCATAAAACATTAATATCTATAAGTTCACTTTGAACGTGATTTCGATATGTCTACTGTTTAGCTAGACTTCGGCTAATAGACACCGTCCCGAACAAATATGCACTGGCACACGATGGGTGAATCTTTTTTGTTACGGAAATAAGGGCAATTCAAACTTCAGCTACTACGCACTGGTGTGTCTGCTGTGCGTTAGACAGGACAAGTTATTAATGGCCCAAATTGTCATTCGTCTTTGTCTCGTCCGTCATATGAGTAACACTGTCAGGTTATATACAAGAAATGAAATGCGTTTTTCTCTTTCAACGAAGGACATTCAGCGTACTACACAAACCTATTTGAAGGGTAATATTAGATCTTGTGGGTCTGAGCCACGACAAGAAGAAAGACCTTGCTGATAGCTTTTCCCTTTTGCCTGAAATGTTTTCCAGATGTGTTCAGTATCTGACAGTATGACTAAAAGGCATAAGGGCTTTTCAATAAATGACTGAACAAACCCTCAGAAGTAACCACAGGTTTTTATGAGAATTTTGTTACTTGACTATGTGACGCTGGAGTAAGATCCCAACGTTTTATATGCGTTTTCGTTGCCAACTTATTTATTGAACGACTCTTGTATTTAGGCCTGCATTTAAAATGGCCGCTGGACCAAAATAGTGTGGTTTATAAAAATTACACCTCATCGAAATCCTTTTTATATATATAACAGCTTTATTGCTAATAGTTTAAAAGACGTACGGACGACCCGGTTAAAGGAGATCATTAGTGCCGATGTGTGTGCACACATGGCTTATAAAATAAATTACAGGAGTAGAATAACTCTCAAAATACACTAGACCAGTCTGAGAGATTCTTGAAAAGATGACGAACCTAAAGAAGTTATTAATTTTCTCCTAGAGGGCGAGTCCAGAAGCTAACTTTAACAAACTTCTCGGAAAGGAAAAAATACGAGAACCCGTAAACGTCCTAATTGTTACACGTAGTTTCCAAGTGCTGTTACTGTATATAAATCATCATGTTAGGTCCCATCTATAAGTCTAAGTTAAAATTTAAGCCGGAATAACTTTTTTAGGATTTAGTGTTGACTTATAATAATTTTATGGTTTATGAGATTTTATCAAACTGTCTGACTAGATGGTTATGAAGTAGGATTCGCCAATTATTCCTACGTGCTGTTTACATAAAATCATATAATCCATAAAAAGTTCACTGTAATATAAACCATTGACGTCGTAGATTCAATTCTGTTATTGAACCTCAGTTTTCCACACAAATGCCAATAAAAGTAACGACCAGGATCCGAAATATTTGTCGGCTAAAACACGTGATTTTGTCCGTTTTATCCCAAAGTGTCAATTTCTTCATTTTTATACTTCTACTGTATCAAAACCTACATTGGCTACCTTCAGGCTAAGACTACTTTATATCATTTCCAGGAATATGCCTGTACAATTTCAACTTAAAAATAAGACAGCTCCTTGCAAGAACCAAAGGCACAAAATAAAGATCAGAAAAATATAGGATGTCCAGTTTTAATTATTGTCGGAGTCCATGGAAATCTAATCCAGGCCCATGGGCAGACAAGCGAGATGACCAGATATCTGTAACCAATCTTGCACAGTGTTACCAAGCCAATATCAAGTTGTGATTGGAACAGCGACGAAAGTGGAAAAAGATGAAAGGTGAGCCTAGGTCAGCACCTGGAGGAAACCTCGTTGCGCTCTGATGACAAAGGACATGCGGGCGGACTAGTCGAAAATGTTACTGTGTGTATGAACACGTATAAACAGTGAATCAGTGGAGAAGCATCTTTATAAATATGTTCCAGCAACTTGGACTCTTGGTGCTAATTCGAATAAAGTTGGTTAGGACGTCGCGGCGAAGAGAAACATTTTTATCCCCGCCGGGAATCGAGCTAGTCTTCCAGACTGTAACCTACTCACAAAGAATATATTATTTTATTTGTATTTTCTTGATATCTCGTGAACGTTTAGAGATAATTACCGTGAATCTAAGTCGGTCATAAATGTGCGTATACGAAATGCTCTTGTTTGTATGTGGCATGTAATTTCAAACTTTTTTTTTCTCTTTTCTGAGTGCTCGAAAACTTCAATATAAATGAAACGGTTGCAGTTATCATTTACTGTTTCCCAGGCACCTTCCCCGTCTTAAACCGTTTCAGCAGGGATGGTGGAGTCAAAGTAATAAAAGACAAAAATATATCTGCTATTCAGAGGAACTTCTTATAAAAGTGGGGTAATTTACGACTTATTTAATAAGAAAATCTAAATGATAAGTAAAATTACAAGCTAACAGATCTGCTGTAAAATATGTGCTTTGGAAATGTAGAAATTAACGATAATTAATTTCACTCTTTTGCATATTTTTATATTTCCCCGACAGATTCATACTTTATATGTACTATCCGATTTAGTTTTTAAAAGCGAAGTGAGTGTTGTTCAACAAATTGAAAACGAGTGGCAGTTGGTCCTTCTCGCGGGATGCATAACCACTCAGCCGAGAAATAAAAAGTAGTTTGTGTCTCTGTAAACAACGAGATCGTGTTCTGGGGCGGTGGTTTCTTCTAGTAGCCGAGCGGGACAACACGAAGTTCCACTGCAGAATTACAGCGCATTGTAACACCCGACGAGTAAGGTTTTGTGTTCTGAAGGGAGAACAGGTTCTCATGGTGGTCTTATGTTTCCTTACCCTATTAGTAACACTCGCGAGCCTCCGGGTTATACAAACGAACCTCATGACACTTTAGTAAATACGATTGCAGACAGGTTCACACACTAACCAGTAACTGTCTTGGCGAATCTGTTGCCAAAGTTACTAATGAAACTGTTTTCTTGTCGATAATGAAGTTCTCGATTATGACGTCGTGTGGTCTTTTACCAACGCTTCAGATGGAACGTATATCGTTCGTCTTCGGGGTGAATATGGTACGTTGGTAACCACCTACAAGACCACATGACGTCACAACACAGAAGCTCACGATTGAGAAGAAAACAAAGAGATCTATTATTAACTTTACCACAGCTGTGAAGAATCTGCTTCAAACGACAGAGATGTTCTAGGGCACAGAAGTATTGATTTCTGTAGATGTGATGAAGTGTTGATTTACCTACTATCTTTTTAATTTTATGTTAATACGGTAAGGTAAGGTCAGTTTCGAAAAGAAACAAGGCATATAAAGAAGTCTTCAGCTTTTCTGCACACACATTTTGATCCAGTAAATTAATTCGGTTCTTCTGAATGTTAAATTTGTACATTTATAAAACGATACAAAATTTTAAATATTCCAGTGCCATTTAAATGGGTAAATGAGTGTTTTGTATACGCGAGACAGTGAACTTGTAGGAGGATTTTGAATTAGTGGGTTAATCACTGCAACCTTTTAAACGACTGATGTGAGAATGATCTTTTTAGGAGACGCCAGTTCTCAAGTAATTGTTTACCGTGACCACGATAATGCAGGTTCTGCAGTGTAAGATTCTTGGCTGTACTGGCAAAGGGGTTCGTTTGAAGTGAACTGAGTCTGGAGTCCGTGACGAATCAAATATGCCGCCTGAACTGAGATGACTATCACTCGCGCTTCGTTTTGAAGGCTAGAAAAATAGATGCCGAGAAAACGTTATGTTATAATTACAAAATACGCGGCTGAAATTTGATACACGTGAAAATCTTCTTGGCACTCGTAAGGCCATTGACAGGTGCAATGTCTCTGTGTGGATTGATGCAACATGGAGGATCTGCGAATTGACGGAAAGGAGCCAGTATTCTTCTCAATAAAATGACTGGCATTACTGACACTAAGATAGGAAAGAAGCTTTGGCAAACATTTAGAAACACAGCTTTTATTACACATTGTTTATTCATAACACAGGCCTATACATATTGAACATATGAGCCGAGTCAGTCGGCTGACTTGTTTGAGGACTACCCTACTGGGTTTCGATTCCCGACAAGAACCTTTTCGTTACCGCGGATGTCACTGGCTATTTATATCTTTGTCGCAGAAAAAATTAATGTCCTAGATAGTAAACTAATCTTAAGAAACTTTAACAAACTAATCTTTAACTTAAAGAGAGGCCTATAGACGGTATTCACTCTAAATCGCATAGTATTTTTCCATACAACCAAGTTTATCTTAAACACTCGTTTGTTAGCTTTCAAGAAGTTTTGATTTCAAATAATTTGTATAAAACTTCAGTTAATATCAGTTAATTGGTTTGTTAAATTTCACGTGCAAAACATCTGTTTCATTATTTTATATTATTTTGTGGCACTGTTGTCATTTTCTCATGTTTCAAGGTTTCTGTTCACGAAGTAGGGTCAAACCTTGTCCGTGAAGATTATTATTATCATCATAATTTTTGAACACGAGGACTAAAGATATTTTCATTCTCTACTTGAAAGAACTGATTGTGTAACGAAAATTAGTTGCGATTTAATGTTCGGGAACATTCTTCGGTAGTTCTTCCAGAGCGAGTTCCCCGAAACACAATGCCTTCTATACATCTGCCAAAACAAACAGGCTTGTTTCTTGTAGAGTGAATATGGCATTGTTGTATTGCTCAGAAGCGAAGCGCCTCGTGCGTTTCCTTTCCACTAATTCTTTCGGAGTCTGAAAAAAATTAACGAGTTTATAAGCGAAGCACACAGGGAAGGGATTAAGTCCTACATAAAACATTTTACGAGTATGTACATGAACTCTGAAGAGATATTTACATTTCTAAACGAATGCGTTATTGGCGCAGAGTTCAACTATATGAAGACATCCAGCTGTCCACAGTGGAGAAACCACAGAGAAGACAGTGCTGTCTTTATCAGAACATTAAAATATGTAAAACCTTGCTCTCTCCGCGTGAAAGGCGATGAAGCAGTGTCCGCGTACCACAAGACCATGACATGATTTTGTGACGGCGTTGAGAAATGGTTTAAGAGTTTGTGTTGCGATGGATCTTACTTGTCATCTTGTCATGTTTTGTTGCTTACCGTTCCAAAAAAATAGTTTCGTCTGTATCTGTGTGTCGTATGATACTTCATCATATACTGAAGTCACTCGGTTGACAATATGTGGTGACATTTAGGAACCTGACAGCAAAGCACTATTCGTCTTAAATATGAGACGAGCTGCTCTGTTTTCGAGATGACTGTTGATTTTGGAACTCCTTCCTGTGATAATCCAATACTGTACCGGGCATCAGCTACAGTAACATTTCGTGGGCACACTTGTCAGGCAAAGTGTGACAAGTCTTCATGCAAGGAATTAAGTGGTTAAGCCACACGTTCAGTGGCGACACTATTCGATATCTTTTTGTTACTTCTACAAGCGCGTTATGCCTTATCCGACGTTAAGGAAGTACTAGATGTCTTACGGATTTTTTTTAAGGGCAGAGGAGTAGTAATAATCATCATTATTGAATACTTTTTCTGACGTCAGTGAGCCCAGGCGCATTCAGTCAAAATTTCAACTAGGCTTAAGTTATGCAAATGTTTCAGGTTACTTAAATTTCAGAGGGCATGATGCCAGAAGGACTTAATGCTGATGCTACTCTATAAAGAGGTAACAGTTATATTTGAGCGTATGAACAATAATAAAATACATTTTTCAAACGAAATAAGCGTAAGAACATAGCCTCCTGTAAATCGGTCGTTCTCTTTATATGCCTGTTTGGCATGATGCCCTCGATTAAATTATTATTGTTTATATTTATAATTGTTTTACAGTTTTCGTTTCTCATTTGGCACTGTTGTAATTCCCGGTACTGTTCGATTTTTTTTTATTTAAATAAAGTGAACAATTAATAAAAAGAGCCTTAATTCATATTCATTTTACTTTGGCATTCAGAACAAGAAACCAAAAAGTACAGTCAAGTTATACTTGTTCCAATTCTGCTAACTATGTAATGGGGCGAATCCCATAAACGTTTCGAAAGGCCACAGCGGACAAACAATAATGAAAATGTGCTACATTGGTGCACACGGGGTAGTGGAGTGTAAGACATATTCAGATTAGATTTACGAGGGTTGCTGCAAAAGTAATGCCCCAAACTTAAAAAAAACTTTTTGTTCCACAGCTTTGCTTTTTTCACAGTTGGTAGGCATGTTCTTCCGTGCTTAGTTAATTCTTATCCCGATAGTGGCGTTGTTATAACTTACGTTAAAAATGGCGACTGCACGTGCCATACGTCAGACGTACCACGTGCTGTAATGGAATTCTTGGTGTGTGAGAACGAGACAGTGGGAAACATCCACATCATCTGCGAATAACTTGCAGTAAGGGACCAATCATGGTAATGTGTGATTGTGCCATGTGCCAGTCACATTGGAGCTATTGATCAAGTATGAAATTGTAACGACTGGATCTTTGAAATCTGACTGCAGCCGATAAGCAGGTCTGTTTATTTACAGAGAGCAGGGGAGATACTGATGCTGGGAGACAACCACGTGATGTGAATGATCTGCATCAGCTGCTGTGAGGACATTTCAGATCAAGAAGGAAGGAGAGTGTCCTTGTTGCTACTGACAAACATACGGTAAGCAAGCCCGCTGTGTTCCGTGAAACTCTTCACATCGGAGTGGCATGGTAGCATTTGGAGTTGGTAGTTGGAGTGGGATAGGTCACAGGAAAGTTTTGTTTGTTTCTGCAAACCTCAATATTTCATCGATCCAGTTCAGTTGAACACCGTGTGTTATAGTACTGAAAACATTGAACAACCCTTGTGAACAAGTAATTTCAAACGTCTGGCGAATATATTTTAAAATTTTCTCGATACTGTCATGTTACCAAGGCACTCTGTTGTTTAGTAAATTCTGAATATCTTGCTTTGTTTCTTACATAACGCAGGTGTAACCACTGTTATTGACTGTAACTGTGCTGATTTAACGTGGAATGACGAAGTGTGCACATACTGATTTTGCAGGGGCTTTGCAGATTGAATTCTGTATGTACTTAAAACGCAGAAATGTTAGACCAGACAGGTACTTTTAATTCTGAATGGCAATGTTGGTTACAGTGAATTCTGTATGGTATGAGGCCCCTCGGGTTGCCACTCTTTCATAAAATTATGGCCAGAAAACCCAGAACGAAAGAACCAGTAGGGTTATTAAAATGGAACTTAAGAATACAGGACGTGAGAATGTGGATTGGATTCAAATGGCTCAGGATAGATACAAAGGCAAGCTCGTGTGAAAATAATCCACCTTTGAAATTCCATAAAAAGCAGGCAGTTTCTTAGAATCTGAGTTAAAAAAAGAATATAGCCCTTATCAAATAATTACACGTCACTTTCGAAAGTAAGGTTACAAACATGACGGTGCGGAAACTAATGTAGTCAAATACAAAATTTCTTTTTCCACATTCATCATCTTTACGTGAGGGGTTGATATGGTTATCGACGCCGAATTTCTCATGTACTTTGCAAAATAAACTCTACAAGATCTTGATCAATTTCTTCCAGAAGCATTAAATGCACTCAGTAATTGAATTTCCCTGCTCTTCCGGAAGTTGTTGGTATCGCTATTTGATTGGAAATTATTATACTTGTCAATCCATTCAAGTAGTAATTATTGGGTAATGGGCATAATGTGCATATTTCAGAGTTCTACGCTATGCCGTCAAAAGAGATTGTGTGCCTGATCTAGTGACGATTTTGTGAACTAGAGTTGTAGAATTCAGACACTAGATGGCAGACAATTTCACATTCCAAAAACTGTACAGCTGTTTCCGTTTCAGCCCTTGTATTTTGTTCTTGCTTTTAAGCAGGATTTCAATCGATACATAGAAGACTGGAAAGGTGTAATTCGTGTGGAATTCACACATGCAAATTCTGAAAAAATATTACGTCAGTCATCTTGTTTAGATATCTTTAGTTTCCAAATATGCAAATCGTGTGGTGTTAAAATCTTACTTAAGTAAAATTAATGAGTAGGGGTTATCAAGAGGCCTTATTTATTTGGCAGTGTACTGGTCTTGTTATACACGGGGGCTCGAAATCGGGACTTGGACAAGTTATATATCTTTTTTATTTATTTTAACATGCAAGCGCCATGCTGTTATTTTACGTTACACGAATAACTGCTAGACTAAAGTTTCGTGTTTTACACAAATCTTTTACCATATATAATTTTATAGCCCTGTTGCAAGTGGCGCTAGTGTCGATCGCATCTCACATGTTAATTCGCCCGCCATGTTGGTCGGATTGTAGGAAATTTTAAAGTACGATTACAGATCAGTCCCTAAATTTCACCCAAATCTGCCCATCGTTTGTCGAGTGCCAAAAAGTGCGCATTTCGCTGTGATAATGACACCAAGGAGACTTGGCATGTTGGGAGACAAGAGATGCGTGCAGAATATTGGTGGGAAACCTCTTGGAAAATGACCACATGTAAGACCAAGAAGGAGACGTGATAATAGGCTATAGATATTGGTGAAATAGATGTAAAGCTGGAGTTGGCCCAGGATCATGTCCTGTGGCGGGGTTTGGGTTTAGCGGTGTTGAATCTTCTGGTATTTCTGCCAGAGAATTAGACCTAGTACATATTAAATGTTATTAATGAATACAGCTTCTGGTGGGACGGTCGAGGTATGTGAAGGCAATATTTACGACTTTCTTAAGCAGTAACTAAACAATTTCGAAATTTCTCAGTATTATCTTGTGTTGCGGACCGAACAATTCTTGTGACAGTAAGAAATGTCTCATTTCTATTTCTTGTCCTCAGGGCAACCCAATTCCTTTAAACTCCTCTTTCCGGCGTCTCGTTGTTTCTCTTGCTCTCCCCCCTCCATCCATTCCTAGAATATGGGCGTGTCATATCATTCTGCACAGTAGGCTATGTAGTAATCGTTTAAACTGTATTAGCGAACTTAGGTTTTTTTCCCCTTCTGAACTTACGGCTCTCATTTCAGCTACTTGTGTTTTGCTTTGTGTCTTTGCTCCATCTCCATGGCCAACTTTCGTATTTTACCACCGGTCTGACAAATATTCTGTATAATTTCAAGCACGTACTCCTGGACATTATTTTATTAACGTGTCTACAACTTACAGCATTTATTTTTCAAATCTCTGGCTACCTCTGCTTATTAGACTCTGTGCCACTCCATAAACGGTAATTATATTGAAGATTTGGCGTTGGTCCGCGGATCAGAATCTAGGAAGAACTGCTGAATCCGAACCAGTGAATTGAGGCTGTAATTTGAACCCTGACACACGAAGGCCAATGTTGCTCTCTGCGCACCTGGGCACATAAAACTGATAGTGGTATTTGGGGGGGGGGGGT